TTTGATTTGCGTTTCAGTTTCAGTTTCAGTTTTAGCTTTAAATTTATTTTTAATTTTGTATTCTGAGTGTTTATTTTAAGATCATAAAAAATGTGTTGGACTTTTGTCAAAAATGTGAAAAATATGCATATAGATAATCACAACGGTGTTAAAATCGAGCTGGCCTTATCTGTTCATTAAAAAAAAATCGAAAAATGGACCAAGATCCGGTCCAGTTATAACTAGTTATCCTTCTAATAAAAAATCGATAAATTAGTCGAAAAATCGGCTAATTAAACCAAAAATCGGAAATCGGTGACAATTTTCATGGTTCGGCCAATTCCCAAAACTTGTTTTAAAAAAGAAATTATTATGATATAATAAAGGTTACCTAGTAAATTTGCAACACATTTACCCACTTTCCCACCTTATGAAGCTCTTTTATGTCCATTTCTTCACTCCATAACTGATAAACTTCCACAAATTCCAATAAAACACAATTATTCAATACACGTCCAATGTAGGATTGATGAACCTTAGTAATGCACACTTATTTAATATTAATAATGCACACTTATTTAATATTATTTATGTCTACATGGTGCAAGACTATAAAATTAAATTACTCAAACGGATTATACTACTTTTACATAAAAATTGTATATAACTGATTACATAAAATGATGTAGAGGAAAAAGATTGAATAAAAAAGTTGATTATGTTTTTAATTGACAAATGATTAAATGACATGTAACATTATGTAATCCAAAATATAAAGCTTGATATACATATAGCAAGGTTTTAGTCCTTACTCAAATTGTTGAAATATTTTCTATTTTTAATCTTACAAATTATTTAGTAAAATTGGAATGAGTTTTAAGTGATCCAATAAATTAAAAATTACTAAGATTTATATTAAAAAGGCATATATTTGATATATTTGTATTTATTTTGAATTGGTGGTATGAAAATTTAATTATATATTATTGTCAAAATAAAATTAAAATGTTTACAGATATTTATTTATTACCTTCAATTTGACCCCGATTCAACCACTATTTGACATTTTGACTCTTTCTCTTCTCCAATTCAATGATTAGGTTGGATTTTAAAATATTGGATAATCATTAGGCATAACTACAACAAAAGTCTCAAACCTTTAAAATATTAACAGACTTTTTTCCAAATCTTTAATTTGTTGCAGCCTTCACTCCTAACATATCTAAATGTCGTAGGTGAAATCCTTTTAGACGATTTCCATCCAAGATGATGTTAATTGATCACCAAATTTAAGTTTGACTACGATTTCAACATTTTAAAGAGGATAAAATAGTTTATTTTATATATTAACATATAAAACAATAGCCGTGGAAAAGGATGAGAACTTAGATGGAAAAGAACCTCTTGTAATATTTGGTCAAACGTCGAAGATAGGAAGAGGGAGCAAAAAGCTTATAATTAACGGCGAAAAAAAAAAAGAAAAAGAAAAAAACAAGAAAGTGAGAATCACAATGCCAACTTTAAGGGGGAAACTATTTTTAATTTAATTTAGACAACTCTTATGATTATTTGGGGTCAATAACATCGCTGATTTTTTGTTCACTTTCTGTATTTTTCAGCATTTGTTGATAAGGGGAAGAAAACTATATTAGGGTTTTAATTAGGGATAAGAAGATTGTGGGTTGGTCTAGAGAAGAAAGTCGTCACAATGGTGGTTGCGATAATGGTGATCGACGACGATGATGGTGTCACGTTTGGATGGTGATGTCCGTGGCTGAGGTTGAAGGATTCAGCGTTTGTGATTTGGTGGGCGGTGGCAAAGTTAAGTATTGGTGCAAAGATTGGCTATAAATTGGAAGAGTCGTTAGTGGTCGAAATGATGGTGAAGTTGTTAGGAGTTGATTTTTACCTAAAAGAAGTTGACGGAGATTTGGAGTCGGTGGTGGTCAAAATGTAAGTGCCAAGTGGGCGGAGTCTGCAATGGTGGTGTGGATTGGGGTGTTTGGGGAAGAAGATTCAATTTTTTTCCCTTTATTTTTTTTTATTATTATTATTATTTATTTTTTTTGGTTTTATTATTTTGATTATTTTATATACAAATATATAAAATAACTATTTTGCCCTCTTTAAAATGTTAAACTTCTAGTCAAAATTAACTAACGGCCTTGGATAGAAACCTTCCAAAAAGATTTCACTTAAAACGTTTGAAAATATTAAGGGAGACCACTGCATCAAATTAAAGATTTGGAAAAAATTTACTAGTATTTTAAAGATCTAAAAGTTTTGTTGCAATTATCTCTAATCATTATAAAATTCTCAAAATTAATTCTCTCAAAAAATAATAATAATTGACAGCACCCCCTATGACACCAGCTGTAGAATAAATGGTCTGTCTGTGAAAGATCGCTAAAAAGCGCCCCCTAATTTGCTATGAACAGAGAATGAGACATGGACCCGACTGAAATTCAAAATGAGCTAGACGGAATCACCGACAACGGCAACTTAGTATATTGTTTTTAAATTATTAAACCAAGAAACAACTCTGGGGAACAACTGTATGGATAAAACCATTTGTACAATATTTATGCACAACTTGATTGACAATAAGTGTGTCGAAAAAATTACGACCATTGATTTTAAAAATAAATGAATGTGATATTTGTCCACTCGTGGATTATAAACCAAGTTGTAAAAGAAATTATACAAGCATGATTCCAATTGTATTTGTATTTGTAATCCTTATTTGAGCCCCATTTTTTTTTAAGTGTTTTGACATCATTTTAATCACGTATTCTTTAATAAAATAATATTACACGCAAACTAAAAAATTTTCTTATTTTTTAACCACACAGTTATCATCATTACGCTATTTAAAAATACGTTTTTTTGACAAAAATAGGACTCGAACAAGCATATTTTAGCCCAATGTTGGACGGGTTACAGATAAAAAGCAAGTCTAGGGAGTTTCTTTGTGTTTTTCCCGCCATTGGTTATCTTTGGACGCAAACATCGAACGGTCAAAATGTGCTCGAAACTGTTTAACATTATCGCCCAAGATTTATTGGATATAAAAAACCCAACACTTATTTGCTGCATTTTTTTCCCTTTTAATTATGATATCGTGACTCAATAGAGAGAGAATTGGAACAAGTGAAAAGATTACACAGATCATGGCATTGCTGGGATTATTTTAGTTTGGATATTTCATAGAAGAGACTTGAAGATATGATTATTTCTCGTTAAGTATAGATCATTCAATAACTGAAATGACAATAGAATATCAAGTTGATAGGAATCCCCAATGAAGATATCGACTAATGACTCTGTAAATTTTTATACACATTTGGGCCAAACATTCGAAATGTAGTTCTCTTTCTCGTGGACATCCCTTTACGATGTATAGACAGGACCCTCGGAGGGGTAACAAAGCACATCATAATTTTCCCTCCACAAGATATTTGCATTCCAACATAAATTTTACCTTCCAATTGTCGCGAGGATTCGAACCTCTAATGTTTCGTAAAGAACCCTCCTACGTTACTACCACACCATGCCCGTGAGGCTATATGTGTACTTATTTGATTACCTTATGACTGGATTACAGTTCGTTTAATGTTGCATAATGTAATTACCCTAATAGTACGTGTAATGTTACATATGATGTTGGCTAAGACAAGCAAGGCATAAATTTGGTCAAAATTCCAAAAACACTGAAACTCATGGTCGAATACCTGTGCAAGTGGTGATTATGTGCCATCATATGAAATTTTCCGTCAAGGAGGTATTCAATGTATTTTGCAACAAATATGCCACAATCAAAGCGTGAAATATGAAAAAAATGTGTTTAAAAAGGAATAATGTTATTTGCAGTCATTTACTACGATAGTTGCCCTACGTAGCTATATATGGCAGGTGATTATTTGATGCATAATAAAAAAACTATCACATTAATTTATCAAATAATCATATATCATGTGTGTGTCAAGTAGGACAACTGTTATAGTAAGCAATTACAAAAAACATTATTCGTTAAAGAAGTGTCGAACTTGTACATATGCAATAAAAGTTGAGAGAAATATGAAAAACATGTGTTAAAGTAAATGCTCCAAATAAATTACATTTTAGTAGTCACACATGGTGGGAGAATAAGTAACATGATATCATGAAATTCAAAAGCCTAAACTTCACCACATCGCATATTTTTTGCTATGTTCCCATTTAGTAGCAAATTTTAACCTATGTTTGGTTTTCTTAAAAGTCAAATTTTGAAAAAAAAAATCTATAAAAGTTTATAAAATGTGTGATTGACAAGTTAATAAAAATTGTAAATCTCATGAAATATATAATTCAAAATGAATTTTAGAAAATGGGAATCAAATAGGAACTTAATACCAGTTTGTATCATTTAGGGTTGTAAATGCACTTCGTGGAATTCTTTCTGAGGCTGGAAACACCACCAACTAAAGAGCGTTCAACGTAGCTGAACTAATGGAAACCAACCACAATCTTCATTGATTTAGCAGCATTTCCAGCACCAATCCTGGCAACCCCTGGCATATGGAAATCATCAATTTACTGAGAAAACGGCTGAGATGCCTTTATTTCTTGTGTTAAAGGCTAAAGGACGATGACTGTTACCATCCACCCATCTTGGGCTATTAATCAGAATCTGCCTGCTTGTGAAAATAAAACCAAACTGACAAAAAGAACTAGTACCCTCTCAAACCCCTAATCTCGTACTTCACTTCTGCACATGTAAGTGATCATTTTCCGGAAGATTAATAGATTATTATCCTTCAGAAATTGAGATCCAAGTTTTAGAAAGAAGGAAGAGCTCATTAAGTCAAACCCTGTATATAAATTTTCAGAAAACAGGTGTATTTCAACATAATGTCAAGCACATTCAAACTCCACAATCCAATGAAAGCTTCACTCAGCATTTTACTCAATCTTTATCAGCATATACAGGAATATGCATGCATGTTTTATAATAACAATGATACGAGTGAAGACAAAAAAAATTGTAGCAAAAGACAGCGATTCAACAAGCTGCACATTCAACTATTGAATTTATCTCCAAAAGCATTTCATTGCAGAGAAGCAAAAAGTCGAACAATGGAGAATAGAGTTCTCAGGCCCTTACATCTCTAAACTGCAAAGCAAGCACAACAGCAGTTGGGAACACGAAAGAACAAAATGAGAGATACAAGTCCCTGTACTGACACTAGTATTAAGTCGTCTTGTTGGAACAGATTGTTAAAAGTAGTCCATAGTGATCACTAGGTAAAACAGGAAGCACCATATTTTGAACCTGCTTTTTCACTTTCTTTTCCTTCATGTATGATAGACCAGGAATCGCATCCATCCCAATCATTTCAATTTCACTTATCTTGAAATCTCTCAACTTGCATACAAATCGATCCAGCCGTTTCTGCAGAGTACGGTTACCACTCAACATCTTGTTTGATTTGGTGTCATATGTCCATCCAACTTCTCCAGGTCTTAGCTCTGTCCAAGCATCAATCCATCCATCAGATAAAGGAAATTGACCGTCCAACTTATCATCCCAGTTCATATCACCACAAAAAATGACATTCTGATTTTTGTCAAGAAGCTTTACAGCCTCCTTTGCTTGATCTACACGTTCCTTGCTAAACATCTGATCCCATGTTGGCGGGCCTGGACAGGGACTTTCCAGATGGCTTGTGGCAACAACCAATTCAGCACCTGTCTGCGCTTCACCTTCAGCAATACAAAGTTCTCTTCCCATTATAGTATTGTTAAAAGGTTTGGAGCTGTAGCATTTTATTGGAAGATTACTTAACTGCAAAATTATATAATAGCAGATAATGAGTTAGATTTGTGTAACAGATACAAAGAATTTTACAAAATATTAAGCCCCCGTTTAGCCCTCATTCTATCCAAATTTTAATGGTTGGAATAATGTTTTTTTGAAAAATGTGTGATTGAAAAAGATTAAAATGTTTTGATTTGCATATAATATTATTTTATGGAAGATTATGTGGTTGAAAATAAGAGAGAAAAAGAATGAGAATGAGAATGAGGGCCAAACAGGGGGGCTAAATGTAATTATCTCTTATTCCAATATATGCTTAAAAATCGAAATTGATCAAATGGCTTGCTGGCTGCTAACTAGCAAGTACAGAAATATCAAAATTTGTATCAGATATTAAGGTTGAGCACACTTATGGAGCATGAGCCAAATACATATACACACGCTAAAGAATTGACTATTGATGGTGTCAGAGGAAACAAATATTTTAAGCCATAATACATTTAAGTTGAACCAAACAGGCTGTAAAAATTAGATGTAGGTTCCAAAATGCAACACAGCACCGAAACTCGTATAATATTTGGAATAAAATATTACCTGCATGCAGAAATATGGCCCTGAAAATGCCACTTCACTTGACACTGAACAGTGGTAGTCCTTCCACCAACTTGATTGCTGGAAAATTTTGTAAATATTTGGAGTAACCTCCTGTAGAGTTAAGCAAATTTAGTTGAACACCCGAATGCCAGACTAAGAGTTTTCAGCCATATGGAGTTCAGGAAAAAAAGTGTAAATAAAAAAAAAACCTGAAAACATATAACATTTGGCAAATGCAGTTGAATAAGATCTCCAAGAGATTTCATCCTCTTTTGCACCTCAAGATCTTCTCGAAACCAAATATTGTAACTCAAAATCTTCGTTGTTTTAGGTTTAGTGCCTAAATGAGTATCACTTACAGCTGCACCTAGTGAGTAGTTTGTGACAACAAGACTTAATATTTTAGTACAACACGAAAAAAGTGTAAGAGAAAGGATAGATGGAAATTAGCAACAATTTGATTGACAAACAACTAAACTCATCCAGAAAGAGTTATACCACTTTGTATTAATTATAAAAAAAAAAAAAAAAAACTACATTCACTTTTTAGTTTGACTGAGAATTAAGTAGAATTCTTGTTCTTGAAATCTTCTACTAAACATGCAGATTAATTAAGGATGACTTCTATCAGAAGCAAATGTGATCGTATACTTTATAAGAGAAACAGCTTACCACAAGTTTGCTTATGTAGCAGAAATTCACTGCACCATCCCGTAATGGAATTCATAGGCATCCATTAAAACCATTTTCAACACAATGTAGAACATATAAATAAAAAAACGTATTTCAGCTCCAGGAAAGGCATAGTTTAGTGCTACATTTAATGTTTAGAACTGCAACATAGTGTTCCACTTATGCTACTGTCAAAGTTCAAGGAAATAAGTTTTCCAAGGATGTATCTTACACATTTGAAACTCCAAAATTAAAATATCAAGCGTTCTGTGATTCATACAACAGAGAAATGCAAGGTAGCATTAATTCAACACCTATCTACATTGTAAAATACAAGTAACAGAAATAGAATACATCTATACCAAAACCAACTGGAAAGCACCAGCAGAAGATTTATATTTGCTAAGAAAATTGGGGTTCAGAATACATCTGCCATTGTTGAAATCCTATTCAAACTCAAGTAAATATTTTAAACAATTAAAAGAATACAAGTTAATAGAAGTCTAACTCAGCCACTGATTTTATTAAGGTAAGGCATGCAACTAGGAATTCAATTCAGTTGACCTCCCCTTTCTTTGAAGTCCTGTTTAAACTCAGTTAAACATTTCTAATAGTTAAGGCAGTACAACTTACTAGGAACCAAACTCAACAACAGAATTTACTAAGACAACACAAATTATACTATCCGGTTGACTATCATTTTGTGTCATGTGTCAAGAACAAGGAAAAGGATGGGAGGAATTCCCATTTATTTCCCAGTTAAACATACAAAATAAACCCTGAAACCAGAGAAAATACTGCTAGGTTCAAATCAAAACTAACAGAAACAAAATAAGACTTCTCCTTTCCCATAATTAACCTCGAAATTCAACCGGCCCATCAAAAATTCAACTGAAACTAACAGTTAAATGAAAAACCACAGTGATATTGCATTTTTATTATAATCGCAAGTCATACATGTCAAAAAATAAAAATATTTTGAAGAAATTGAAGCATACCCAGGGATTCAACTTCAACAGCCTTATTTCCAGCCTTTACAGCTCTAAACTCAATAGAATCACCTGCTCCACCATCACCACCCATATCTGCGTCTTCCCTGTTTTTCCTCTTATTGCCACAAGGACGCAGAGGCGGAAAAGAACCCTTTAACCCACGAGAAGAACAAGCCGCGCTGCCATCACCAGTACACACATTAGGGCTCTCCATATTTTCCTTCTTATTATTGCTAGGCTGCAAATCCAACAAACCACCCTTAAACCCTCGAGAAGCATCATCCAAATCACCACCACCGTTCGTCAAATCTCGATTTCCTTGATTTTCCCTTTTCGTATTATTACAAGACTTCAAAGGGTAGAAAATGCTCCCAATAGAGGAGCCGGAGCCCAATTGCGCTTCATGAATATCATCATCATCAACTTCAAGAATGGAGAGTAAAGATGCAGAAGCCCTAGCTCCACAGATTTCACAACTTGTGCTTTGATATGGGTTCAAGAAAGTGCAGTCTTTGCATGCCCATTTAGGTTTTGCCGGTGATGATGATTGCGGTGGTTGTGCAGATAGGCAGATTTGGCAGGATGATTTTTGAAAAGGTGGATTGATGAAAGTGCACTTTGAGCGTGTCCACGACATTGTGATCAGACGAGGGGTTTTCCTGGGGGGATTAACTGTAGCAGAATTGTTCCTTGGGAGATGAAAAAATAGAACATATAAATAAAAAAACGTATTTCAGCTCCAGGAAAGGCATAGTTTAGTGCTACATTTAATGTTTAGAACTGCAACATATTGTTCCACTTATGCTACTGTCAAAGTTCAAGGAAATAAGTTTTCCAAGGATGTATCTTACACATTTGAAACTCCAAAATTAAAATATCAAGCGTTCTGTGATTCATACAACAGAGAAATGCAAGGTAGCACTAATTCAACACCTATCTACATTGTAAAATACAAGTAACAGAAATAGAATACATCTATACCAAAACCAACTGGAAAGCACCAGCAGAAGATTTATATTTGCTAAGAAAATTGGGGTTCAGAATACATCTGCCATTGTTGAAATCCTATTCAAACTCAAGTAAATATTTTAAACAATTAAAAGAATACAAGTTAATAGAAGTCTAACTCAGCCACTGATTTTATTAAGGTAAGGCATGCAACTAGGAATTCAATTCAGTTGACCTCCCCTTTCTTTGAAGTCCTGTTTAAACTCAGTTAAACATTTCTAATAGTTAAGGCAGTACAACTTACTAGGAACCAAACTCAACAACAGAATTTACTAAGACAACACAAATTATACTATCCGGTTGACTATCATTTTGTGTCATGTGTCAAGAACAAGGAAAAGGATGGGAGGAATTCCCATTTATTTCCCAGTTAAACATACAAAATAAACCCTGAAACCAGAGAAAATACTGCTAGGTTCAAATCAAAACTAACAGAAACAAAATAAGACTTCTCCTTTCCCATAATTAACCTCGAAATTCAACCGGCCCATCAAAAATTCAACTGAAACTAACAGTTAAATGAAAAACCACAGTGATATTGCATTTTTATTATAATCGCAAGTCATACATGTCAAAAAATAAAAATATTTTGAAGAAATTGAAGCATACCCAGGGATTCAACTTCAACAGCCTTATTTCCAGCCTTTACAGCTCTAAACTCAATAGAATCACCTGCTCCACCATCACCACCCATATCTGCGTCTTCCCTGTTTTTCCTCTTATTGCCACAAGGACGCAGAGGCGGAAAAGAACCCTTTAACCCACGAGAAGAACAAGCCGCGCTGCCATCACCAGTACACACATTAGGGCTCTCCATATTTTCCTTCTTATTATTGCTAGGCTGCAAATCCAACAAACCACCCTTAAACCCTCGAGAAGCATCATCCAAATCACCACCACCGTTCGTCAAATCTCGATTTCCTTGATTTTCCCTTTTCGTATTATTACAAGACTTCAAAGGGTAGAAAATGCTCCCAATAGAGGAGCCGGAGCCCAATTGCGCTTCATGAATATCATCATCATCAACTTCAAGAATGGAGAGTAAAGATGCAGAAGCCCTAGCTCCACAGATTTCACAACTTGTGCTTTGATATGGGTTCAAGAAAGTGCAGTCTTTGCATGCCCATTTAGGTTTTACCGGTGACGATGATTGCGATGGTTGTGCAGATAGGCAGATTTGGCAGGATGATTGTTGAAACGGTGGATTGATGAAAGTGCACTTTGAGCATGTCCACGACATTGTGATCCAACGAGGGGTTTTCCTGGGGGGATTAACTGTAGCAGAATTGTTCTTTGGGAGATGAAAAATGAGAAATCCTGGTCTTGTTATTATGCGGAACGAAGTGAGTAATGCCATTTTGAAATTGGAATTGGGGTCGTCGTTTGCCGCTTTTGTCCTCGGGATGATATGTAGCCCAAGCCCCATTTCGTGAAAAAGAATTATTTTGAATAATCGATTGATCAAAAATGTGTAGTTAAAAATTGAAAAAAAAAATTGAATTTACGTGTAATATTATTTTATTGGTTGAATATGAATTTTGAAAAAATGATTTTTCAGAAAAATGGAGCTCAAAAAAGAGCATAAAAAATTGTTGAAGGGTTGAAGGAACTTTATACATTCACAATATTAAGCTCTTGTATGAGCTCCATTTTAATGAGATTTTGTAAAATATATTTCGAAATAGTAATTTTTTTAACAAAGTGCGGTTAAAAAAAATGAAAATTTTTGGATTTATGAATCAAAAATTTAGGGGCTGTTTGGGCCCGATTTTTTCACCCAAAAAATTGATTTTTTGACCGTTATTTTACTATTCCAGTCGTCATATTTGACTTCTTCTCTCACAGATGGACCCCACTTTTCTCCTAACGGTCAAAAAATCAATTCTCAAGATCACTCCCAAACAGGCTTTTAATGGAGCCCAAACAAGGGCTAAATGGGAGGAGTCGATCTAGCATTCTCCCAAGTGAATCGCTGAGCAAGCCTAGTTGGAATTTCTGTTAATTCGTCATGGCTCATTCTCAAGGTGAAAAAAATAAAATTTTTGAATTTTTTAAAAATATAAAAAAATGTCCCGAGGCGAATTGAGTCACATAATTTTGAAACAAGCTAACCCGTGCTCCGACTCATCACAAAGCAAGCACGAACCAACAACTCGTACATCCATTACGTCTTGGCTCTACCCATTAATTATCCCATATAAATGTGTTTATAATAAATTCCAAATTTTGAATATTTCCATATATTATTGATCAGCATGTTCTATATCAATCTCAATTCTTATTGTCACGCTTCATTTCTCAATTGTTGTCATCACGACTACTACTTAATCCAATGACCCTTGACCTCTTGTCCTCACCCCACATCTCCTATCGGCCAATGTTGCAAAGACAAAGCTCGACTTGAGTAACTTAAACATTTGTGAGAATCTAATGCACCAAAAACCTAAGCATTTAGGTCAAGAAGGATAAAAGAGAGAGGCTTTCTATAAGTCAAAAGCAAACAAGTACGGATTCAGAATTGAATCCAAAATCGAGCTACAAAATTTCAAGCCGAGCTAATATGCGGGAAAAAAAAATTACACATAAAAAATTGCTTTTACAAAATAAATAAATGAAATATGCCTTTCAAAAATAAAAATAAAAAAATTATTGGACCTCGGGGGGACTACAGCCCTGCTCAATCCCCCCCTACATCCGTCCCTGAAAGCAAATGCCCTCCATGCTCCACGGTCCGCTTATGAAGGAATAGAAATAAAAGATATAGTGTCAAAGCAAGTTATGTAATATGACTCGAGCCTGAAGGCTTTACTTACAATAACATTGAGTATCACCTATCGGCCTATGTTGCAAAGATAAAGCTCGACAGCAAACGCATGCAAGATGCCTTTGCAACATACGTAAGCTAAAATGGATTGTAGGTGTCAAGAGGAGTTGTGGTAGAGAAAGATGGCGGTAAGACAGGGGACAAGGTTGGAGAAAGAGGGTCCTGGGTGATACTGTGCTAGCCAAGCCTTTTGAAATCTCCTTCTGTATAGTTAAAAGTCGACATTCTTTTGAATAATAAAAATGACACTAAAAACTTCAAAAGTTCATAGCTTTAGACATTTTTAAGGGTAATTTTGAAAGCTACTTTCTGTTTTAGGGCAGAAAGCATACTCAAGCTATTTACATGTCCATACACGATAAGTTCCAAATTCATAGTCCAATCCATAAATGAAATTCAAGATACAAACATATATATATATATATATATATATATATTCTGAAAAATAACTTCTTAGGACAATTGATTACTTCTCGGATTATTAACCTTTTAGGTAGAGCACTTTCTTTTTTATGATTTCTCCTTTAGAATATTATGCTACCAGCACCAAACAATCATTAGACACTACAATTTTCACAAAGAAAACGCCAAAATATGAATCGTGTCCCCCCAAAAATATAAAGAAACACAGTGACAGAGGGAACATATATATATATATATATATATATATATATATATATTCTGAAAAATAACTTCTTAGGACAATTGATTACTTCTCGGATTATTAACCTTTTAGGTAGAGCACTTTCTTTTTTATGATTTCTCCTTTAGAATATTATGCTACCAGCACCAAACAATCATTAGACACTACAATTTTCACAAAGAAAACGCCAAAATATGAATCGTGTCCCCCCAAAAATATAAAGAAACACAGTGACAGAGGGAAAGAATTCAGCCGAAACAAAAGCTTCAATATTTATTCGTACCTTTACATTTAATCATGGAACGAATGAATAACAAAACAACCAAAAAGAGCTACCAGAGAGCAAGTATAAACCCGTGCTGAATACGCTCAGTCCAGTGCCATGGAAGCCGATCAATCTCATTGTGCCTGCGCTACTTACTTCTGTTGAGTTCACTACCTGGCTCGTCCTGTTATTGCTAGGCTTCTTACTGCATTGGAAGAACAGATTCACAAAGCGTGTCGTGAATATCTAAATAATGTGATCAGATTGATAAAAGCACAGTAATTACGCTTACCTTCCAGGAAATACACAACCGCCATGACCTGCAAATTTTCCCAGAACAAAAGGATAAATTTTAGATGACAGTTTAAAGAACTGCAGCAAAAATACAAAAGAATTGGAGCCAAATATGGCTAGACTACTTATTTTACTAACACATTCATATAGTCAGTGCATCCTATTACATGTCGAAGTAGAAGTAGAATTTGACTATTTTGATAGAAAATTATAATTTCTAACATCCAATCTGCAAAACAAATTGCTAGTGTTCTTCCACCATTCAATTTGAAACGAGACAATGCGTTTCTGTAGTTCTCCCCATGTGAGCACCTCTGTTATATTCAGCCCGTTTGGAAGTGATTTTTTGGCCTAAAAATTGATTTTTTGACCGTTATTTCATTATTTCAGCGGTCATATTTGACTTTTTCTCTCACAGATGGATTTTAACTTTCTCTTAACAGTCAAAAAATCAATTTTCAAAATCACTCCCAAACAGGCTCATTGAATTTCACATTGCCATGTCCCCTCAAACATAACAATACACCAACGGCATGTTTGATATGTAACACTAGACAGGATTAGCTATGCAATGCTCTATATTTTAGTTTCTTTTCTTTCTTAACGAGATCTAATCCTATCCTATCCAATCCACTTTAATAAACATAAGTTGAAGAAATATATGACTCCCTTATTGCTAATAGACAAGTAAACAATTAATAATCTAGTCCACACAATTAATCATAGCTCAATACAACATTTCAAAATCTATCAGTATGCATCTACAACCAAACATAAATATTGCAGTTTCTACTCTATCTTTTCACCAGGAAATTCAAGTGTAAAATCAATGAGTTGGGGTGGAATCCGTTATTATTAAGTAAATCACTTACTTGGATCAGTAGTGGTGATCATGGCTGCACCCTTGAAATCACAAGAACCAGGAGAATTCCCTTCCTTCTGGTAATAACTATCGAAGGCATAAGATGCATGGTTCTTCACGTTATTAGGCTGATAACAACTCTCCCCTGGCTGAATCTCCGAGCAATTTGCCCTCCCTGGTCCACAAGCCCAATCCAAAGCAGCCTGCAATGTTTTTGTATCAATGCCATCCATGGCTATGCAATATGTTTGATTCGTTGTGTCGTTAGCCAAAAATGTACCACTCCCCGACACATGAAGCAAGTAAACAGCCGTCGAATTCCCATAAAATAGTCCCCAGTTCGCCTCAGACACAGGTGAAGACCTCAAATCCTCATTAAACAACTCATATATGTACACATTAGAAGTAATTTCCGGATGCAATGGCGTTCCACTACGATCAAAGATGTGCTTAATCAAATTTGAATTGTATGTGTCTGCATTGTCAATTGTAGCATAAGGTTCCTTCGAATCCCCTTTTGAAGGCCACCCCGTTTCAGTAACAAGAACTACCACATCAGTGACATTAAGATTCTTCATAGAAAAATACACTGAATCAATCATAGCATCAAGAACATTAGTATAGTGCAGCAAAGTATTAGGATCAACCATTTCTTTCGAGGGTGTCAAGGGCTTAAACAAAGAATTATCCAAAGGCACAACACCCTTATTCTCCATAAACACATAGTAAGGATATAAATTCATCATCAAGGGCGACTGGGTCCTAGAACAAAATTGCAATAGTTGTGAAATGACAGAGCTCAAACTTTGATTAAAAAAAGCTTGGGAGGGTGGGAAAGGGTCAAGAACAATTGAAGCAGCATTTGGAGTTGAAATCTTGATTTGGTTATGCAAATTTGCAGCCACAAGAGCACTGTAAAGTGACTCAATTGCTGGCATAAGCATCGGAACTGAACTTGGAACAGTGGTCAACACCTCATCACCCACTGCCACGGCGGTGATGAGCGTTTCTGGGTAGTATGCCGCCACGTTGCGGCCAATCCATGTGGCGGCGGTGACATTGGACGACCCAATGGCAAGAAGCTGGTTATTGGGCACACTAACAATGACCCTAATCTTAGTTTTTGCAAGTGCTTTAAGAATCCCAGCATCAGCATCGTACAATCTAACATGGGTTATCTTTTGTAACTGCAAAAAAGCTATCAAATCTGCAGGTGAAAGCAAATTAGACACATCAGTGCCTATGTTCACACCCACATAGGGCTCATCTTTATCCTGTTGTACCTTAATCCCTGCATACAGAAAATACACAAACTAACTACATTTGGCACAATTAGACAACACATTAATGATCGAATTGATTTTCCTGGAGTGGGTTCTTGGAATTATCATTACCTATGGAGAGTGACGTAGGAAGGAGAGAAATGATGAGCCAAACCAGAGTGAAGAAAAAGGCAAATTTAAGATTTTCCATTAAAGAGAAGATTGAAATTTTCTTGAATCATCTTCTGGCCCTGTATCAGGTAAGGCTAATTTCATTATTTTAGCAAGTTCTTGTGAGTTCTTAAGTGGTTTTGACTTCCAAGATCTGGTTAAGGTAGAAGAGAAAAGGAGAGAACATTGATGAACTGGTGAATCGAAAGTAAGTTTAGTTCAGTTTTTGCTAGATTTCTGTGTGTTGAATTCTGATTGGTGTACCGAAGTGACTATAATGGCCTTGTGTACCGACAGTGAATCAAAGATGGACGGTTGGTGCAAAAAAGTTTAGAAAATACAATTTTTGCCCTAAAATTTGTGTAAATTAGGGATACTTCCCCCCAAGAGTTCTTTTTTGGTGGGGACGAGACTGAAACACCCCAAATCTACCCTACGCTGCACTGACTTAGTGTTGTTCTTTGTTCCGTGGATCCTTCTCAAATCCCAGGCTGGATCCTTGAGGTAACTTTTGTCTTTAATGGAAATGACAAAGATGCCCAGAGTTGCCCACTTTCTGTCCGTCCTGGTGCACGCTACTTTTTCAAGTATGGACCTCTTAAAAGAAAATTTTAGTAGGTTACATTGATATTTCAAATTTTGAATCATTCAAATCATAACATTTCGACATTCAACAATTTCAACTCTCGTCTGATCTTTATTTTTGTCAAAATATATTTTTCTTTTTTTTCTTTTTAATCACATATCTTTCAATAAAGTAATATTCCAAACAAATTCAAAAAATCTTATTTTTTAACCATATATTCTCATAATCTAATCTACTATTTCAAAATAGATTATTAGCCCAAAAAAATAGAACTCAAACAAGGGCGAATAAGAAGAGAGAAATAAAATAGATCTCATTGAGATGTCATAATGTAAATTATAGGGGCAAAGCCCCTTGTCCAGGGGCGCCAACAAGCCCCTCACCAAAGACGTCAAGCAAAACTCAAATTATAGATCTTATCAAGTGTACATATAGCCCCCGTTTAGTTCCTATTAATTTTCATTCCATTACATTTTATTTTTCTCTTTCCTATTTCGCACCACACAATCTTCCATAAAATAATATTACATGTAAATCGAAAACTTTTCCTTCTTTTCAACCACTCATTTTTCAAAAAAATATTATTCCATCAATTTTCGTTACTATAAAATGAGGACTAAAGAGGGGCATAGTCTCATCTATATCTTTCTCGAACTGAAGGTTACTTTTGTGTGGTTGAAAACTGAATTGGGAACAAATGTCTTAGGCATCAACATCTTTAGTGATTAGTTATTCTTGAAATCTGTTAATGTATTTATTTTATTTGACTTTGTAGATGGTACTCAGATGAAATCCTGTCATGATTCTGAATAGACTTTTAGAGTATCCTCTTTCAAAGAGCATTTTCTATAATTAGTGGGTATTTATAAATTTGGAAAATAAAAATTTTTAAATACTTCAATAGCTCTTTATATCTAGCGCTTAAATTTACGACTCTTAAAAAATATTTAGTCCCTATTTGATAAAAATTGAAATCAAGATTTTTATTCAAATCAAAGTCACAATTAATTTTAACCACGCATTTCGTTAACTTTTATCAAAATTTACTAAAAATCTGATTTTAATTTCCACCAAAACTGGGACAAATTGTTTTATTTCTATATATTGTTTTCACTAGCTTCCATCCAAATTATTATATTATTCTCCTTCATTATTAAAATACTCTGAATACATTTAATTATATAGAGTGAATTTGACTCTCCAATATTAATTTGAAAAGTCTCTTGGGATATAATTTTAATGGTTGACTCTTTAAAAATAGATAGCATCTTATATTTAAAAAACCTCTTAAAGATGCTTTTATATTTGTGATGATGTATACTTAGGGCTTGTTTACTACATATTTTTGAAATATTATTTTTCTTTAAAATTATTTTCAATTGCAAATTTTATGGGACTCAACTTTGAACCTTAGATTTTCCCCCAAAAAAATAAAAAAATAATAATAAAAAAATAAAAAAAATAAATTCACTCTAAAAAATATGTATCAAACAAGCCTTTAATGTTGTCTCGGATGCCTCACAACATCTCGATATACAAAGAGAAGTTAGATGTATAATTTTAAAGTAAACTCCTATCAATAATTTTTTTTAATGATCTTGCGTACAATCCTGTCAATATTTTGAATTAATTCTACGTCTTCATGATGAATGTAGAGCTCTGATGTATGTAAGTTATATCATTCTTGTATGAGTTTTACTATATGTTCAAAGTTGGTTGACAAAGAAATATCTACGTCAATCATTTCAAAAACATATTTTTAAATAATTTGAAATTAATGGTCTGAATTTTGCCAACACTTATTTGTCAACCAAATTTGTAAACACACTTTGTACAAATAGTATAATACTTCTTGTTTTGCTTAGTAACAAAATCAATACATCTACTTTGTGACTCCTTTAGGATTGTACTATTTTGGTTTGACAACTGAATAAGACTGGGCTAACTACCATAAATTTGTAAATGCAACCAAAAGTTGGTATTGATTTTTTTTTTCTGCCTTCTATGAAGTTAACAAGAATAGAAGAATACGGGTCATTAAATAACAGACTGAATTAATTTACTAATTTAATTAGTCATACCATTTAACATCGCTCCAAGTCATTTAGACTAATTTTATAGCACATGATGCCATATGATATAAATTGTGGATTACGATGGATGATCAATTGAAGACAATAGCTTGACTATCGCTATGTTAGCTTGATTACCCTTATGCTAGACAGACCACTACTACCCTAATCGCTGGACATCTTTTAAATTGATTGAAAATTATCTAACGGTTATCATCAAGTCCATTACCTGATTTGTATGTGGAGGTTAACTACTTAGCAAGTACGTGAAAAACGCTTGGTGAGTTCGCGTGTTGCATTGGACACGTAGACAATAACCACTTGCAATTACATGATTCCGAGAATCTGTAAATACGTCATGGGAGTGTCGATTATGGGACTTTCTTTTTACCTTACACTTTTTTTTTTTGGGCATTCTCTTGCTTTTCTTTAAATTATTCGTCTATGAAAAAATCACTAATACACATGCTGAAGGTAAAATGGGGAAGAAATTACCAACCATTTTTTACAGATTCGTCGGAGTAGCAGAAGAAACCTTATTCAACCAAGGAATTTAGGAGGTCTTGTCTTAATTATTTCATTGGCACAGTTGATTATTTTACCAAGTAGGTGGGAGCGGAACCATGGCCATGATCATGACAGCTAAGGTACAGAGTCTTCATGTGGGAAAATATTATATGTAGATTCAATATACTAATGATCGGTATTGCCGACAATGGCAGACAGTTTGACAGCCACAACTTCAAAGCTTAATTTGCAATTTATCATATAGAACACAGATCACTTTTGTTCCTCGCCCTCAATCAAATGGATAGGCAAAAGTAACAAATCAGACATATTGTGGGATTTAAGGACAAGATTGGAGAAATAGAAGAGACTTTGTGTAGACGAATTGTCTAATGTGCTGTGGACATATCACACGATCCTACGGGAACCGGTGGGAAAAACAAATTTCAAGCTATCTTTCAAGATGGAAGTCATGGTCCCTATGGAAATCATAAACGAAACCAATAGGATATAAGTCAAACAATTCGGTATCGCAAGGACCAACCAAAAACTCAACCTACTTGAGGCGTGAAAGAGAAAGCAGCTATAAAGATGGTGGCTTATAAGTGAAAGGCCGCTGAATACATTAAATGAAAGGTGAGAATGAGGATTTTTCAGTCAAGAGATCTTATTCTAAGGGATACAGCAGCAGTAAGGCACCCTTCACTTAAGCTTGGGCCAAATTTGGAAGGATCGTACAAGGTGATTTGTAGTCTTGGAAAGGGAGGCTACAACCTCAAAGACCTAAAAGGAAAACAACCAAACATGCTGTGGAATGCTGAGCATCTCCAAAAATACCATCAATAGGCAGGCCTGTTGTAATTATTTATACTATTTAATGAAAAGCCTAAAGGGTGACAGATGATAAGTCTGCTAAGGAAGGCCCAACCTAGCTCAAACGTTTTGATGCACCTACTAGGTCCACAAATCCATGCAAGTTATATGTCAATACGAGACTTTGATTTATAATTGATTGAAACATAGGCTTCAGACTTCTCCCAACACTTCAAGGTTGCTCTATGGAATAGTGGTGAGCTACAAAACTAGAAAATTGGTTAGCTCCAAATTGTTTTACAGTATATTGGTGAGCTTTTAAAATTTAAAAAAATGGTTAAGGCCCAAAATCACTAGACCTCACGTTCTACACTTCAAGGTCGCTCAACGAAATAGCAATGAACAACAAAACCAAAAGATTAGTTAGCTCGAAATCACTCTACAGTTTAGTGGTGAGCATTCAAAACATTAAGGCCCAAAATCACTAGACCTTGTACTCTACACTTCAAGGTTGTTCGAAGGCCTAATTGTGCGTTTTCAAAACCAAAAATTGGTTAAGTCCCAAGAACATTAGACTCCACACTCTATATTCTAAAAGTATCCAAAAGTCGAGAATCATCAATTAAAATTGGGAAATCAAGGTTTGCTATCCAAGCCCGAGATTGCATCAACTAAACAAGCGATCGACACGTGAAAGAAGATAGCATAGAGGTTGACCGCGCATCCGACAACTGTTATGCTGTCAAGCAAGGAGAGTTGTGCAAGAATAGGCGACCTAACCACTACACATTGGGTGAATGCTTTTTATATGGTAACGTGATAGTTCTTCTAGCCAAATTAAAAGAAAAATGGGAAGAAAATCAAACGCATATGAACTAGAATCATTGTCTGAAAAAAGAAATCAACCAAGATATAACAAAAATATGATATCCAATCCACATCTCGGACCAAGAAAAACTTTAGAGTAGTCAAATGACTAATAAATATCAACGAAGAATGAAGGTGGATAATGAAAAACTAAGTCACTTGAGGTGTGAGGTCCATCCGCTCTCTCTCCATGGTACGCTTGTACATATCCAAATGTCTTTGTCTGTTTAACTATTTTTTCCTTCTCTCTATTCTGTAATAGATTGATAAATCAATCGTAGTTGAAAGGATCCATGGATAGATGTTCAGCAACCACACATTCCTTAGTAAGAACAATAGAGGCCGCAATCATTTTTGTCCCCTACTCATTCATGTCCTAGACATATTTCTAAAAGTCTTATATTGATCTAATGCATCAATTCGAGCTAGAAAGGAGTGCAAGTTATCAATTTCCTTCTTCTATTCATTGACTTAGGATTTCTGCTCATTGATTCGAGACTCAATCTCCTTATTAAGGG